CATTCAGAACAGCTGGGCCTCATGTTTCAGCTTTTCCTAATTAACAGGCAGCCGTCTTGGCCCAAGGCTATAACATTGGGCCTGGATTGTGGGACAAGATGGTGTATTCTGCACATAGCCACCTCTCACTACCTCACGGTGTCATAATGGAGAAAGTCTCTTTCACCTGGCGGTCAGTGAAATACCATTAGAAAACTGCCATACTTTATTTTGAGTGGTATAAGCAGTTAATAGATTTTCAGTTCACCCAGCTAATGCTCAATAATAAATCCGAATCTGGCAGTTCTAATAAAGCAGTTGCCCTGACTGACTTTTAGACTTTAAGTTAAAAGGGGAAAAGTTAAAACAGCCCAACATTAATGCTATATTTTTTTTTTATTTCCAGTTTACATAAATATAGGCAGATCTTTTATCCTGTATGAGGGTAGTACAGCATGTTTCAGTTTTAAGGGACATAAACGTCTGGTTAAAACCATCATAAAGTTTAGGGTGTTGGGTTGTGGGTTAGTTATTGATATCATTGCCTTGCCATAGAGCAAGAAAGAGCTTGAAGTGCAGTTTACCTAGCTTTGCACTGCTTGTCAAATGGTCTGATAAAAAAAACAAAAACCAGATGATTGACTGCCTGTATTACTTTTCAGTACTCTATTTTTCATCAGTTCTGGAAATCGAGAATCATTGTTGGCAATATACTGTAAGGACCCCCTTGCCCGCAACATGCAGATTGGAAATATAGTATGTTGAATGGGCTAGGGCAGGGGTTCCCAACCTTTTTTGTCAGCCGAACCCTTCAACCTAAATTATATGCCTCAGGTACCCACCCACTTGATTTTAACTAAATCAAGCCTTTCAATAAATATAGATAAATGCTACAGCATATCCTCTTAACATGCTTCTTTTCACTATTTCAAAATATTAATATAATATTGATAATAATGAAATATTTTGTAATATAATAAAATATTAATATTACTACTGTTGTTATTTTTATTATTACGTTGGTATTTATTAATAGGACTATTAAAGAATTCAAAACAAGCATTAAAAGCTCACTTGCTCTGGCATAGACCGACCTTTTTAATGGGATACCTGTGCCTGGTGAGCCTTTTACAGATCATCAATCCTGGGGACAGTCTTTGACAGACGTACTCTCATCTCATCTTTCACATCAAGCATGGATCTCTGCTTTGTTTTTATTGATCCCTTCAGTACTGAAACTCCACACTCACATAAGTATGTGGTTGCAGATGGTAAAAGGATTTTCGAGGCTTTTTGTGTGAGCTCAGGGTACATGGATGAAACAGCAGGGTCCAGCCAAAATGATGTTAAGTCACGTCCAGAGCTCTAGTAGGTCTGATGCAAAAAACTGCCATTACTGAGATCAATCAGCTTGTCCTCCTCCGTCACAGTTAAGCTGTGGGACATGTTTGTGTTGGATGCCTTCAAAAAGGGATCCCTGATCCAGTCTTTGTCAGTTTTTAAGTCACTCCCAGCAAGCATAGTGAGATGGGCACAGATTGTCTGAGAGATGTCCACTGTTTCGGCCTCCCCATCATTCAATTCTGTTAAGCAGGAGAACATTGCGGTCACTCCATTCCTTACTCGTTCATGCCAGCATCAAATCTTTATTATAAATCCTTTGAATTTGTCACAAGTCCAGTATGTTTGTGTGCAGGCCCTGCATACTGCTGTTAAACGTATTCAGTTCATCAAACATATCGGGGTGAAATATGCAAGTTTAGCGTTCCATGTTGGATCCTTGAAGTGCATGGCCAAGTTGGAATTCTGATCAGATAAAAATTGATTAATTGATAAAAAAAGTCTCAGTGCGCAGCTCAAACACTCAAGACGTGCTAACAACGTATGCTCACATGACATTCAACAGTTAGGCTAATCCTATCAGCTAATTCTGTTGTTGTTTTTTGCATATAAAGTCACGGTGTTACATTTGATTGTTTTAATGTAATATATTTGACTTTAAAAAAATATATTTTTTAAAAAATTGAATTTAATTTGACATTGACATTCCAACACAATCTCATGAAC